AATAACGCGCTCATTGCAGAATCATTTGTGATGTTGCACTCGTTGTTGTATACTGCCTCAGGCTCTAACAATGCATGTGGCTAGTATGCTATATTGCACAAAGGCATGTCATAAGCGAACAGAAAACAATACATGCGTACACACACACACACACACACACACACACACACACACACATATATATGTGTATATATATATGTATACATATACATACGAAATTGACTTTCCATGACGCAGACAAAATTATTTGTTCGTACATCACAAATTATATAAATTGTTGAACAGATAAACAAATAAAATACATGACTTCACACACACACACACGCCTACACTCATTTCAGTTTTTACGATCTCACCTTTTGGTTCCCTCGACCTCGAGGACGTAGCAGTGGCGACGCGACCACCAGGGCGTCTTGAGGAGCCAGTGGCTGTTGCAGGAGGCGCGCGCCCATCCTTCCTCCGGATAGAGCCACACCTGTGGGCGAGACGCATAAGGGTGATTTCAGGGCCATGCTAATCTAGGACCTATGTTTGGCTAACAGTAAATACTAATAATGATTGCGGTAGTGGTAAAGAAAATAGAGGTGTGTGTGTGTGTGTGTGTGTGTGTGTGTGTGTGTGTGTGTGTGTGTGTGTGTGTGTGTGTGTGTGTGTGTGTGTGTGTGTGTGTGTGTGTGTGTTCGTTTGTTTGTATGTGAGTAGACATAAATAAACATAAGAATACAAATAGACATATGGTCATATACAAATATATGTTTAGAGAGAGAAAAGGGTTTGTTGAAGTTTAAATACAACAAATATTTTATGTCAATATTCCCATGGAAGCAGTCTCTCCCTCCAATTCATGATTTGTTTACGAAGCACCAAACCCTATGTGACTAAATTCCAATTGTTGACAAAACGCCCAGGGAGTGAATGCAGCCGATTTTGAAAGGCAGGTGTTTTCCATGCGGCTGCCACTGCAATAACACAAATTTATGACAGCCCTGGGAAAAGATCGTGTTGCCTGTAGGACCTATGCTGCAGGAGTAAGACCAATAAACGATCGAATGGGCAATAAAGGTAAAAACAACGACCATTACCGTAACAGAAATATGGAAAGGCGTGTGTGAACGGGAAACGATAACCGGTTATGGAAAAGCAAGAATGGGCCAAGAAGTCGATTCGTCGAACACAGAAATCGGTGTTAGATTTTGTAGAGCAACGAACTGGCCAACACTAAGAGCGGAGAAGGAATAAAGCGGGGAGAAAATATTTAAATCTTGGGCGCATACGAATCCATTATCACTCGGCACCATTTAACGTCGTCTCGCGGACAGGATAAAAACAACAGCATAAAAAACATGACCCACACACACACACACACACACACACGCCTACACTCATTTCAGTTTTTACGATCTCACCTTTTGGTTCCCTCGACCTCGAGGACGTAGCAGTGGCGACGCGACCACCAGGGCGTCTTGAGGAGCCAGTGGCTGTTGCAGGAGGCGCGCGCCCATCCTTCCTCCGGATAGAGCCACACCTGTGGGCGAGACGCATAAGGGTGATTTCAGGGCCATGCTAATCTAGGACCTATGTTTGGCTAACAGTAAATACTAATAATGATTGCGGTAGTGGTAAAGAAAATAGAGGTGTGTGTGTGTGTGTGTGTGTGTGTGTGTGTGTGTGTGTGTGTGTGTGTGTGTGTGTGTGTGTGTGTGTGTGTGTGTGTGTGTGTGTGTGTGTTCGTTTGTTTGTATGTGAGTAGACATAAATAAACATAAGAATACAAATAGACATATGGTCATATACAAATATATGTTTAGAGAGAGAAAAGGGTTTGTTGAAGTTTAAATACAACAACTATTTTATGTCAATATTCCCGTGGAAGCAGTCTCTCCCTCCAATTCATGATTTGTTTACGAAGCACCAAACCCTATGTGACTAAATTCCAATTGTTGACAAAACGCCCAGGGAGTGAATGCAGCCGATTTTGAAAGGCAGGTGTTTTCCATGCGGCTGCCACTGCAATAACACAAATTTATGACAGCCCTGGGAAAAGATCGTGTTGCCTGTAGGACCTATGCTGCAGGAGTAAGACCAATAAACGATCGAATGGGCAATAAAGGTAAAAACAACGACCATTACCGTAACAGAAATATGGAAAGGCGTGTGTGAACGGGAAACGATAACCGGTTATGGAAAAGCAAGAATGGGCCAAGAAGTCGATTCGTCGAACACAGAAATCGGTGTTAGATTTTGTAGAGCAACGAACTGGCCAACACTAAGAGCGGAGAAGGAATAAAGCGGGGAGAAAATATTTAAATCTTGGGCGCATACGAATCCATTATCACTCGGCACCATTTAACGTCGTCTCGCGGACAGGATAAAAACAACAGCATAAAAACTTGCGCCATTCTAACACCTGCGGCCCCTGCCCCTGTCCCTCGCCCTCCTATCCCTGCCCCCTGTCCGTCGCCTCTTGACCCCTTCCCCTACCCCCAGCCTACCCCGTGCA